CCCCGGCTGGTGCCCCGGGCCGGTGCCCCGGGCCGGTGCCCGCGGAGCCGCTGCGGCCGGCGCGGGTCCTTGCACAGCGCGGGGTCCGGTCCGCCCGCCCGGGAGCGCGGGGCAAGGTGACCGCCGCGGCAGCAGCGGCTCCGGGCCGCGGTGCGGGCCCCTGACCGGCGGGGTCAGCGAGTTACGCAATGACACACCTGCCCCAGCAGCCTGCACGTTCCTCTAGGCAAGTTTAAATTTTAATCTAAGTGTGGGAGCCCCTCATCCGCGCCGAAATGGCCTCTGACCTCTGTTCTGCCCGTGGAAGGGGCAGCAGCCTCTGCCACTGTCCCTGCTCAGATGTAAATGCAGGGGCTCCTGCCTTGCCCGCCCCAGGGCAATCTGCAGTAAATCAATCTGCAACATCAAATACAAATCAATCCGCAATAACCGTGCCCTGCCCTTGGGGAGTGTTGTATCTGTCACCTGAAATATGTTAATTTCCTGCTATGATCTTGTTTGCAGAAAAAGTGCAAGGCAATGAGGTGGTGAGAGAAGTAATGACAGAAGTGCCTCCAGAATTTGGAAGTTTAATGCTGCTTGCCCAAAACACATCAGCAGAATTCGGGGCAGAGCCCAGATGAAAAGATTTTAGCTACCAGAGGGGAAATCTTTTTAGCTCTGTAGCTCTCTCCAGATTTCATTCTGACACAGCCAACCCTGGTGCACTGATTGATGCTCACTGGGAAACCAGCAAAGCTTAGTTTCGCATCTCTCTAATTCCTTGTAATATCTCAATTCAGCACCTTAAGAGCCACAAAACTAATTAAGTTTAGAGGTTCATATAAGAATGTAAAGTTTGTAGTGAATCTAGTTTTTGTTCTGTTTCCAAATGGGCAGTCTGGCTGCCAGTGCCAGCTGCAGAGTCATTGTCAGAGTAATTTCACTGAGTATTTAGAATAACCAGTATGTTTAATTTAAAAACTTAATGTTCCATTACTCAGCATCTCTCTGGCTGTTAGACCTGACCTTTGTGGCACCCCCGGAGAGCAGGAGTTGTCATAACCTATGAAAAGATTGAAGTTATTGTTCAGGGCACTAAGACTGGGATTTGGGGCATTTCCTCGTGCTCTTCGCAGTTGCAGGTCTGAGCCCTGTCCTCCTGGTCATGCTTCCTGCTGCCCTGGCTTATCTCTCATTTCTGGACTAGACTGTGTTATACAGCCCTGGAATCAAATATCCAAATATGTCATAATACACGGTAATGTTTCTGGGGGGTTTTAGAACTTCACATTCTTCATTTCACACAAGTGTTTCCTGCAGAAGTAAAACATGCAACTTGTTACACAAAACAGAAGCACCAGTTTATTTCTGGCCCAAGATAAGAGAACAAACAAACCTGTAAAAGCTTTATCTGAACCAAACCATCTGATTTGCATTGGCAAGACTGATTGCTCATACTTCCCTCTGGGTTTCTGAGCAGAGCTGGATAAAGGGCAGACTGGGGCTGAATGCTGTGTGTGATTCTTATCTCACAGCTCACAGCATAGCTCCCCCAAACTGAATCCTGGTGTGCAAAACAACTTTCTTTGAAAGGAAGGCCCTGGGTAGGTTGAATATCTGAATTGCAAATGAAGGGGGCTATAGTTATTTCCACTTTTTTACATTCCTGCATGTCCACTAGAGTGGTGTGGACTCTGTTCTAATGGAAATTTGTGTTTCTTTGCCGAAGGTTGGGTGGTACAATGCTGTTCTCCAGCCAGCTTTCCACCTCCCCTACCCGGATGACACACTGGCCTTTGTGGTCCTCAGCACACCTTCGATGTTTGACAAAGCCCTTAAGCCTTTTGTGAACAAAGAACGACTAAAAATAATCAGGGATCCTGTGGATCAGTGTGTTTCCCACCATTTATCACGTGTGAAGGAGGTAAGAAGCTGAAATACTGACTCCTTTTAGTGTTGTGGCACATAACCAGGTGGGTTGAACAGCAGACAAAGCCCTGCAGGCTCCTGCTTTGCTCTTTGGAAGGGTGAAGCATTATTCATGAAGGTGGGAGCATCAACAGGCTTTGGCTGCTTTACTTGCATGTTCTGCATCTGGATTACATCGTGCAGCTGTGAGGGAGCTCTGCAGGCACAGGTTGAATGCCCACAGCCTCAAACCTGCTGATGGAATTCAGCAGCAGGATGTGGGAGTCTGCAGGCTTCACACATGCTTGATTTGTTGCCATCTAGCAGTTCTGGAGTGGCAAAGCTTTTTCCAAGAGCCTGGGCTGATGTTTCCAAATTTTTGCAGAAATTCCCTGACCAGAGGGTGGATATCATGTTTGATTATGAGATGCTGCCGAGCCGAAAGCCCAAGTTCCTGGCTCAGACAGCTGCCCATGTTGCTGGAGCTGCATATTACTACCAAAGGAAGGATGTGAAGCTTGATCCCTGGGGGAAAAAGGTAAGGCAGAAACAAAGTCTGGGAGTCACTGAACTGCAACCACTTAATTGTACAATGATTGTTTGCTCAGTAGTCACTAGTGCATCTTACAGGAAACTACAAAGTCCAGAGCACATACAGGTTCATAAAGTGTTTCAGGTGGAAGCTTCCAAGATTCTTCAAAGGAGTAGGGAGATGTGTATGGAGAGAAATATCTTGATCTGTTAAACCTACTTAGACTGAAGAATAAATGGCATTGTAAAGGAAAACCTGTTACTTAGAGTATTACAAACTGGGGGAAAATACTCTGTGGTTAATTTCTGTAATAGATTTTCAGAAAGGAACCTCTCCCCACATTCCAGAGAAGTGTGTGTGGGCACAGGAAAATGGGAGTGAAGTGCAATGCTTCAAGCCACAGGTTCAGGAAAGTTTTCCCTTCTGCTCTTACACCACTCCAAGAGAAGGTTGAGAGAGTGAGAAGCATCTGATGCTTTGAACTCTGACTTTGATTAGACACAAAGTGAGGCAAGCTAGATTTTTTTTCTTTTTTTTTTTTTTTTTGTCTTCCAGAAGATCTTTGGCGTTTGTATCCATCCCAAGTATGGAGGCTGGTTTGCTATCCGGGGTCTCCTGCTCTTCCCAGACATTCAGGTGCCGTTCCTGGAACAGCCTGCCCCTGTTGACTGTGTGAGCACGGAGGAGAAAAGGATTGAGCTGCTGGAGCAGTTCAATTTCCACTGGCAGGACGGCCGCTACAGAGACATCATCGAAGTGAAGGAAAGGTACTCGGAAGAGCAAAAAGCCTATTTTGCCACTCCTCCAGCCGAGAGATTCCGGCTGCTGGGGCTCTCACAGGAAGCGCAGAGAATCACATTTCACTGAGAAACCGGCTCCGAGGAGGGCAGAGGGCAGCAAAGGGTAACTCATGAACGCCGGCTTTTCCCGGTGCCCAGGAGGAGGAGGAGCAGGAGGATGGTTATGGTGATACAGAGATGGCAAATCCGAGCAGCCTCAAGGCAGACATCGGCTTCCCAGAGAGGGGCAGAGCTCCGTGGTCTGGGGAAGGTGGGAGCCGTCTGTTCTGTGCTGCTGCTGCTGCTCTGGGGTGTCCTTTGGGGAGCCCAGTAAGGTCCCAGTTAGCCTTTGCTTGGGAGTAGTTTAGACATCCTGGCAACATTAAAATCCTTGCTGCTCATTAGAGAAATCGCTCTTGTTCTCAATTACTTTCTTTCTGAATATTCTGTTTTTATTCTTTGTGAGTGTAAAAAACAAAAATAATTCTATCATTGTACTGCTTAGTTTGATTTTGTCTAAACTTGGGGTAGGTACTTCCTTAGATGTATCCAGTGTTTTATTATCCTGTGTCATGATTCTCCCTTGGGAGCAGATGTCCAGTCTTTTCAGTCTTGCCTAGGTCACATTTAAGCATTTATCCATTTATAGAGCATCTGCCTGGAGTATTTGGAAAGTTGCTGGGTTATGTCCATATGAGTGGAGGTTTTACTCATGTTAAGATAACTGACTGAAAAAGACAATTTCCATGGCTTTTTCTAAGGTAAACCACATTTGTGTTAAAAGTATTTTTCAATGCCAGCACACAGCACACCCCCCTCACAGTTACTGCCACAGTTTCCTGGTGTGCTTTCTGTGTGGGGAAGATTGTAAACCTGCACACACGTAAAAGCCATGGCACAAAGCCTTGTCACGTGCACAGGCAAACAAGCACAGAAGAAGGGAAAATATTAATGACATTCATGTTATTTGTATTGCTGGATAAAACATGTTCAGACAGAACCATAACATTTTTCACATTACTTTGTCCTCTTATATTTGTTCAGAGGCTACAGTGCACCTGGAAATAATGAATTAATTTATCTTTGAGCAATTTGAGGCTCATATTTCATTAAAATAATATTTTGTAGGAGTTGTTTTACTGGACTGCAGTGCAATGCTGCAAATGGACAGGTACTTTTTTCTTTTTGATGGTATCAACACGATGATGAAGAAGAAATACTCACTTTGCAGAACTGAGCCCTTTCTTTTTATGTTGCGATTCTTCAAACCTTTTGGAGACTCCACCACAGAGATTGCCCTCACCATTGTTCACTGCTTGATACACTTGCTCATAGTCTGTACACTAACTAATTGTAATCCAAATTCAGGATAGCAAGTTTGCTTCCCTTTAAGCAGAGAAGTGTGTGATCACTGGGTTTGTTCACTGCATTTGCTGTTACAAAGAAATCTTTGTTGCTTTCCATGCTTTGTTCATCTCTGACTAAGGCAGACACCTGACTTAGAATGTGATAGAGGTATTGTGATGTTTAATTTAAGCTGAAGAATGAAACTTGTTTAAAATCTGTTCTGTTTTTTATAGAATTACTTCTGGTTCAAATTTGTTTGATGATCAGAACTTTCCAACTGAACTGTAATTTAACAGGGGCTTGAGCTAATGGCTCATATTAGTAACAAAGACAAAATACTGATTCTCTTAGAAGGGTAAATATAGATCTGAACCAAATGTATTACAATTTAAAGTGAAATATTTTTATTTTTTGGTATTGATTTCTTACAAATATTTAATATTTTGTCTTAATTTATTAAACAGATTGCCATGGCCATTGCATTTCAATTTCTGTAATTTATTTCTCTTCAAATGGTATTTTGATTAATAAAATATGCAAAGTTGTAAGGAAACCTCAATACTGAGTATTTTCATTTAAACAATGCAGGGCTTGACTTGTGGAGAACTCAAGATGTTCAAGCAAGAGCCAATCATGGTGTTTTTAATATCCTGAAAAGAGTGAGCTACCTAAGACACACGGTATCTGAAAGCTAAGGAAAAATTTGGTCATCTTAGCAGAAGTTGGTAAATTGTTACCACAGGCCCACTGGGGGGCCTTATTTAAAATACAAAACCTACAGCACATTGTGAATAAGTCCAACTAAGGTTTATCTTTCCCAGGTCATTTCAGCAAGAGCATTAACAGCAAGCACCATGACAGTGCAATTTTCATTTCTTCCTCTGTTCTTAATAGCAACAAAAGTTCCAGATGTCCAGTGAGACATAATGGAGGGGCTTTCCCTGAGCAGCATTAAAGACGTGCAAGTACCGGGATTTTTACTGGTTCAAACCTGTTGGTGAACACTGAGTCACAAATCCATGATCCTTGTGCTTCTGGGAATATAGTTGTGTCAGGCAGAACAGAGCACAGGTATTTAGCAATATCCATTCCTACTACAGTGATTTTGAAATGACTTGGACTGGGCATTACTTTCTTTCTCTTAGCCTGGTCACTGAGATCCAGAGCTGCAGTGAGTAGCTTTCTCCCCATGCTGGCTGGAGTACAATGGCCTTTGTGTTATAAAATTGAAGTTTGAGAACCTGTTTGACTTATCTCATCTCTTGGGACAAGACCAGACATGGTGAGGAATGGATCATCCTTGGATCCTGAGGCATTGTGAAGGCATTCTTCATTTCAGCCCTTGCAAATGTCAAACAAGTAATTGCAAATACTTGGATAGATTTACTAGTTCAAGTATCACATTTTACATTTTTAGAGAAGTTTTTCTCTAACTCCTATTTTTAAAATATTTATTAAAGACTCTTTTCCTCAGTATAACTCATAGGCTGAGTATTCAAGAGCTGAACAGGAAAAATAAAATAAAATAAAACAAAATAAAAGCTACTTGAATTTAAATTAAGTTTTAGCAACAAGTCATTCAATATATTTCAAACTAATAAGATAGTTTATGAAGAATTAACAAATTTGTAATAATTTCATGCATTTGCCATTCTTACTATCCTTATGCTTTCCCCATTTTTACTTCATTAATCTAAAAATATCTGAGATTTTTATAACAATTAAAGGTTTGACAGATAATACCAATTAAATACAAAGCACAGTTTAACCTGGTGACCAGCAGCCATCAGGGTTGTTGCTCAGAAAGAGAAAAATACCTCAGAAAGCACTGGGGGTTTTTGGTATCGGTTTGAATCAGTTTCATCTCAGTGCTGCAATAATAAGCACTAAAGTTTCTTTGTGGTATGAAGAAGAGTGGTGGAAAACTTTATTCCTGATACTTATTTCTTTCTCCCATGAAAAGAGTGGCTTGAAAAAAAGCTGTTTTCCTCTAAACTATGGAAAACTAAAGATGTTTTGCTGTATAAATCAGTGCTAGTGTGTCAGACAAAAATAGCCAACCTTAGGAGAGCAGGGAACTCTTCTGGTTTGTTGTTTGGATGGGGGTTTTATAACCTGGTTTGGGTTTTTTGCTATGTTTTTGTTTTGGAGGGTTTTTTTTAGGGCTAGATTGCCCTCCTCTGGATTAGAAGTATAATTTTACTCATTCAGTATAATATTCATGGTCTTTTATTCATTTGTGACCAAAATTATTGTTGATGTAGCTTCTTTGACATGGGTTATATTTCTGAAAATGCTCACTGACTTGTATTGAAAATGAATCCAAAACCCCTGAGTTAAGACTGATGTATTTTGAAAAACAAGATAGTGGCAGCTGCTGATCAGCGCCAGTGTGGTTATCAGCACTCTTTGTTAAGCCTCATGTAAAAAGCGTATTTAATAAATTAGCTTTTAATACTGACTTAAGCAGCAGCAGTTCAAAACTTTTCCTCTGAGGGAAGTGGTTTTGCTGCTCATTGCAGCAGAGAAATAGCTGCACCTCTGCAACCTGAACTTTCACAGATTCATCTACCAAAACTGACAAATGTATTCATGAGAGGGTTTTTGCTGGTACTTTGGCTTCCTGTGCTATCATATATCCTGTGACAGATCATCCATCACATTTCCTTCAGAAAACAGAACAGAGCACTTCCCTTCTAGGTTTTCAAGGAGGAAACAGAGAGCAAGGAACACAAATGAACTTTTCTTTTTCCTCTGTGACTGAAAAAGATGTTCACATTCCTTAGGAAACACGGTGGGAAACTTGAAAGAGTTAAATATTTTGTCATAAAAAATGAACAGTAGGATATGTTAGTGAAATGTTTAAAATCTCCCCAGTAATTTACCAAAATCTGCAAAATGTGATTATATATGCATACAAATATTTTAAATGGCTACTAACATTCATTAATATCACATCTATAATTCTCATGTTATCTTTGTTGATGTTTATAAATAACTCAGTGAGAAAGCAATTTTACTTTTAATAACGGCAAAGTTTCCATTTCCCCCAAACATCTTGAAAAGTTTCTGAAAATCAAACACATTTACACTAAGTTGCTCGCGGTTTTGTTCCTCATGTAGAACAACTATGGGACAGGAAAATTCGTTTAGGTCGATTACAGAAGGAGTGGAGGGATTTGCCATGTTTCTTATGCAGAACCATTGCTTTTGCTGTGAATCTATAAACCCTCTTGTTCCTTTTAAAGGAATTAGTCTTAGATTTTAATTTCATGTCATTTTCACTTTCCAGTATTGTTCAGACTGGTCTTCCTGAATCATTCACTGTTGCTTCAGTCTTCCAAAAATGTAAAGAAACTGCCTCATTGTTGTGAAAAGTGAATTTGATGAAATACATCAATTTTAGGCTACAATGTTTTATTAAGTGTAGACTGAAGACTTTTTTCCTTTCTAGACAAAATATACTGGTTTCATTCATCAGTGCAGATACTTGAAAAATCTGTTGCTGTGGAATATGGAACATAAACCTACTGGACTTGGTGTCAGAGGACAGTGCAACCTTAATGACTTCACATGTATTTAGTCACGTATCTGTGCTCAAATGGTTTCTTGCACAGAAACATTCTAAATTCAGACACGTGTCCCCATAATATGTATAATGATTAAAGTTTCAGGTGAAAGAGTCAAATTTCACACTGAAATCCAAACCTTTCATCACTAGGTGTGGTGAGAATTGCCTCCCACAGGCTCAGCTCTTGTTCAGGAGCACTGCAAACAACTCAGAGCCTGTTCTCCTGCAGCCACCCAGGGCTGTGCAGCACAGCTGAATTGTTTGACTGTACATTAAAGGCAAACTCCTGTTTTTTCCCTCCAAGGATTAAAACCAGAGCTACTATATTCACGAGCAAAAAAACATTTATTTGATTTTCGAGTTCAGTGTTCTTCTTGTACATACCATTAAATTGTATTTTAAAAGAAGGAGATGATAACAGCTCTAACACTTTCTGAATTAATTGTCCAAGCGTGCTGCATTCCACTACTCTGCACTTCCCTCATTTCACCCTTTGCAAATTAGAACCAAGACATTTCTGGTTTAAGTCCTCTATCTGTCTAGCAATATACATCAGAATATACATTTGCAGATTGTCATGTAATGTAATACTGAACACCAGACCCACTGAAAATTTCAGACTATTAATATATTTTTCATTAATTAATAATTAATAATACAATAAACCTGAGTATTTTAACATAATCTTTACACAACTGTTATTTTGATGTGTAGCATTACTAAAAGCTACTTTCATGGGACTTTTGCAAACATACTCTCCTAACCAAAGGACATAATTTTGCAATACCTGTGAGATATAAAATGCTTGCTTTTGTTCTTTGAACTGTATTGATTTGTTGGACAATCCACTAACATATTCAACAAAGGCCTCATAAAAAGGCTGGAGTACTTGTTAAGAAAACAGTACTTTTAAACATTAGTAATTTTTTATGTTTTTCAAAACTACTGAGAAACTCTTTGTTACAAGGTGATAATTCTTTAAACATTGAGGCAATTCTTTTCTTCTAAGCATCTAAATATAAATATGCAGTTGCTACTTTTGAAATAACTAAATCAGAAGCTGTACAAAATCTAGTAAAGGTTAGCATCTAAATATAAATATGCAGTTGCTACTTTTGAAATAACTAAATCAGAAGCTGTACAAAATCTAGTAAAGGTTAGGTTCTGTATGTTGAATATTGAACGTCACATCCTATGTATGCCAAGATAAAGATATAATATATAGAATTTGTCTGATGAACAGCTTTGTATTATACATACCAAAAAAAACCCCCTGTTGCTCCTACACAAATGCTATTATCTGAAAACTTAATTACAAATACCTGTCACAAATCTGAAAACTTAATTACAAATACCTGTCACAAACATGAGGGATTTTTTTTTTAACTCTAGATAATATGAGAGAACACAATGTGTGTGTACTGGGTTTGTGTGGCTAGGTTTGGTAGCAGGAGGGTGACAGGGGTGGCTGCTGTGAGAAGCTCCCACTGTTCCCAGTGCCAGCCATCTCTGGAAGAATAGAGCTAAGAAGGGGGGGACATTTGTGCAACAACCTGCAGCTCGAGAGAGGAGTGGGAGAACGTGAGAGAAGCAGCTGTGCAGACACCAAGGTCAGTGATGGAGTGGGAGGTGCTCCAGGGCACAGATTTCTCTGCAGCTTCATTATTTCTCATTATCCTGCTCTGGTTTGATTGGTAATAAACTAAGCAAATTTCCCAAGCCTGTTCTGCCTGAGACAGTAACTGATGAACGATCTCCCTCTGTCCTTACCTTGACCCATGAACCTTCCACTTTATTTTCCCTCCCCTGTTCAGCTGAGGAATGGTTACATAAATCCCCAGAAATCACAGCAATCTGCTACAAATTAAGAGCTCTAGGATAGAGACACAGTAAGATATGTTTCAGCTACCCTTCACCTGATTATTCTAATTAAATAAATGAATAAATGTTATATTCATAA